TGTGAAGTATCTTTCTGAACTTTGATAAACGCAAATACGCACTTTTCCATTACAATGAAACCTCATCTGCTCAGAGGTGGAGGGTGGGGAGTCAACTCACTTAAAGTATTTAAAAATGAATGAGAAAAAACATTGTAAACTATAGTCAGTCAGGCACAATCCTGACATGGCAGGGGATGGAGTAGATGACTAGATAGAAATTTGTTATGGATAATATCTACAAATCTGTTTTTAGATCAGGGCCCAGATACTTCTGATGCATCCTTCTTCAGTTAAGAGAAATTTGGAAAAAATAACACTCAGCAGGTGTGAAACTTAATGATTTCTGCTGCCTGTATGCTGCTGCCAAAGAAACTCTGTGTAGATACTTGATTTTCTGAGAACAATGGAGAGACCATGGGAGAAATTCTTGAAAGACCCCCTGAGAAACACAGGAACAAAGTCTTAGGCTCCCTTGAGTGCACCAAAAGGCTAAACACAATGTCTAAAAGGGTTGAGTTGTCCCAGTGAGAAAGTAAAAAGCTGGACAAGCTGAACATAGCATTGACAAGAGCCATCTTCAAATCTTTGCAAGGAGCATGAAGTAGAGGGAAAAATAACCCAAGAGGTTACAATGAGAGGCAAGCGGTTCCTACTATTTGAGTTGAGGGGTATGGAGCTGCAGGCAGGAGCCCAGCAGTATCATTGTCAGTAAAGCCTTCTATGCCTGGGTGAGCTGGACCTTCCCCCTACATAAACTGCTGTTGCCCTAGAGGTGGCAGCTGAAGGTCACTGACCACTCTGTAAGTCTGAAGTGCGTGTACTTTTTTATTTGATATGTTTTAAGTGTTGAGAAATTTTATATAACTTTTAGCTTATTTTCTGTCATCTCCATTATTTTGTTGTTTTAGTCTATGGAATATGGGAAATCCCCCTGCAATCTTATGTGATAAAAAACTAATGAAGGAGGATGGTGCCTCCTAATATTCATTGCTGATGAGAATTTTAGAATGCTTAATGCATAAACTGGCAAAGACATACCGGGATATTCACATTTGTTATGGCTAAAGGAGCAAGTGTGATAGGTTACATATTAATAGAACCACAGATGTAGTATAATTATAAATCATTAACAGTTCCACTGTGGGTAGAAAGCGATCAGTTCCTCCTCTTACTAAAAATTCCATTAGAATTATGGGGCGCTCCTCCTCAAAACTGTGCAACTAGGCCCCCAAATTGGAAATAGTCATTAAAACCAGAATTCAATGGAATAATAAGTTATGAGATAAATGTGTTGCCCTCTTCCAAGATACTCTCTCAGACCACTTATCTCATATTCTCAAAGTCAAGAATCCTGAGAAGCAATTACATGATGTGAAGCAGTTGTTCACAGTTGGAAAATGTCCTTATAAAAGAGATTACCTTTGCTGAGAATAAGCACTGTTGGGGGCACAAACCCTGGTTTGATGAGAAATGTTCTCAAACTAAAGATGATTTTAGAGATGACTTGGAGGAATATAAGTCTAAAAGTGATTGCATTAGCTTTCAGTGGATCAAGACGATTAAAACAGACTGCAAAAAAAATCAATAGATAAGCAAAAGAAACAATATCAAATCAACCAATCGGAGGAACTACTAGCTGCAGGGGAAAAAATATCAATGCTTTTAGCAGAGTATAACAGAAGGGGAAAAAATGTATTTCCTGATGCATCTATCCCTGAACATACATTGGTTTTGCTCTTTAAAAATAAGTTTAACAACTTACTGCAGACAGTGAAGTTAAGTGTAGCTTCTTTTTGAAGGAAATTTTATCTGTTAAGCTACAAGTTCCGGTTCAGAAGTGAGATCATGATCTCACCGCTGAACCTTATGTAAGATCGTATATATCCTTCATGGAAATGGAAAGGCCAGTTTTGATCAAAAAATGTAATATAATTAATTTAGAAAGCATTTATCCAAAGTATTGGAATTTAAATATAATAGTCCTAATTTTTAAAAATGGTAATAAGAGAGATCCTACATCTTACTGCCCGATTAGCCTTATGTGTATTTCTGCCAAAATATTTGGGACACATTTACTTTTTACCTTCAGGTATGGAGCTCTGAAAAAAATATTTTGGATGAAAAGCAGACTGTTTTTAGAGAAGGCTATTCCTGCATGGACCATTGCTTGGCATTGTATTACTTGGCATCTAAATACGTTAAAAGACAAAATCACTTGTATGTTGCCTTCATAGATCTCAAGGGAGCCTTTGAGTCCATAGATAGATTAAAATTATGGAAGAAGCTGGCAATAATGTCAATAGACAAAGCTCTCTTACAATTAATTGCCACTTTCTATTCAAACAGAGCATCAAGGGTGCGTTATGGGATTGGTGGTGCCCTATTTCCCAACTAAGGCAGATGTATTGCAAGGATGTTTACTTGTTCTGCCACTTTTCAATTTACTCTTGCATGATTTAAAACAAGTTCAAACAGGGCACGTCTACACACAACACTATGTTGCCATAGCAACATGCTACAGCGACGTAGCATCCAGAGGCACAAACCATGATGCTGCTATAGTGCATTGCTACAGCAATATAGTGGCTAAAAATAACTGTGTGCCACCAGCACAGTGCAGTATGGGCTGTTTCTGCACCATATTTAGTACTTCCAAAAGACTATATCTCTCTTGCTTTATGCAGATGATGCATTCATTCTGTTGCAATCCCAAATAGGTCTTCAAAGATTATTAGATGCCTTTAAATAGTGTTGCACCTCAAATAGCTTAGAAATCACTACAGCTAAAACCAAAGTAATGGGCTTTGGAAATGAAAGAATGAAACCGGATGGGTGTTCACAGGGAAAGAAACAAGAAGTTGTGTCTTCGTTTAAATACTTGGAATATATTTTAGCAAAAATCTGAGCTGGAATAAGCACATTGAAAATGTGAATGTTAGAGCAAAACAAGCTTTGGGTGGAGTTTTATCTTTTTACAATAAGACTGGCAGAAGAGCAGGTCTGGAAGTACAAAAGGCTCCACCAGAAGTGCTTCTGGTCCATTTCTGGGTCTGCTACCGAGTGTGCTGGGGAGTCCCCCGCGCTCCTGTGGGACGCTCCATCCGCCCCAGCATTGCAGCATTCATGAGCCGCCTGCTACCTTGCTATATGTAGAAAAAACATTTAAAGCTGTGTCCATGTCCAAATTCCCAAATCTTTGCAAATCTCTCTGAATCGATTAGGAGGGTTCCGATTCAGTTCAGAGAAATTAAAGGGCCTCCTGATTCTACTCGGATTTGGAGATTCAGCCACCAAATTGGGCAAATCTCTACTGAACCAAATCAGGAACCGAAGCTTCACACAGCCCTAGTAATTACCCCACTCCAGCAGACTCCAGTATCATGTGTATCAGCATCCTCACATTGAAAAATGGTGGCAGGCTGCTTGAAACTGAAGCTCATTTTATGAGCTGCCACTTTTCAATGTGGGGACACAGATACACATGACACTCCGGGCACTTTTAATTAGCACAGTTCTGAGAGCTGTGCTAATTAAAGCACTGCTCCCCCCTCCACCCCCACCTCCCAGAGCATATCGATAAATACCTGAAGGGTCTATAGATATAAGGCAGATTCCATTTTATTGTGTGAAGCAGAACTTTGGAGTGCTGACCCCATGGTCCACCCAAAAATTGAAAAGATTTCTAATTACTTTTTAAGGTAGCTTTTGTCTTTACCTAATTCTACAGAAGTGGGGATCATGAGCTCTAAAACTGGACTGATGAATGTGAACATTTTAGTCCAATAAACAACCTTAAATTCCTGGATGAAAGTTAGATCTTTTACACAAACCAGATATCCCAAGAAGTGCATTTTAGATGCCTGTCCTCTGTCAAAAACTATGGTTTGGATGGCTAAAGACCATCTACACTCTCTTGCACACATAAATGACCTCAGAAATATACTGAGAGTAACTGATCTGATATTTCTCCTGTATTTAAAACAAGGCATATATTTAAGAATTAAGGATGACAGCATGCAGACAAGATATTCTGACAGTGAGACTGAATCAAACTTCCCTTTTCTTAAAATTAATAAAACATTCTGTTGGCCTACAAACCTATCTGTGGTGCAAAACTACAAGCAACAAGAGGCATCACTAGATTGAGATTCACATTAATGATATCTGCAGTGTTAATGGGCAGGTGGTGTCAGATTCCATATTGAGAAGAATATGCTCTTAAAGAATGAGATTGATGGAAGAATAAAAAAGAATGAAATTGATGACTAAATCATTATTTGTGGCTTTCTATGTTCTGTGAAGAAATAAGAGGGAAATAGATCTCGCCATTAAATAGGGAAAACTAGGCAAATGAGGAAAAAGACAATCTGGCTTCTTTCTCACACTTTGGAGCCTGTCTTATATTCCCTAAGTGTATTTGTGCTACTTGCACAGGAATAAGGGCCAAGATAAAATAGAATTTTCCTGTTCTATCTTTCATTGCTCCATTTTACCTCTTCTTTTAGATCATTATATATCATGTTCTGTTTTAATTTTGTGTAAACTGGTAAAATACATTATCTTATTGTGTGCTTTTAGTAAAAATTATGATTAATATAAATGGCATTTAATTTTTGTATATATAATGTTATTGTTCATTTAATTCTATTTCATTATATTATTTTGGTGAAAGCTGCGAATAAACTACTACTACTACTACAACTATTATTACTACTATTTGATCGGTCTGTGGGATTCGGCAGCAATCTGATCCAGCTTTGGATCCGTCCGCTTCGGATGGCCGTCATCTGATCCGAAGCTCCAGACCGGGTTTCTGCCTCGATCCGGCTGAAGTGGCTCCTAAGCTTCGGAGCCACCTCGGAGATCCGGCCATAGGGTATAATGGGGAAATCAATGAAATTTCTGTAACTGTTGCTTTTGTCTGATTTGGATGAAACTTGCAGAAATGGTAGTCTCTGCTGAGTGCATGAAACCTGCCAAGTATCAAGAAGCTTGGTGCAGAGGTTTGGGTGTAACTGTACCCCAAATTCTTGAAAGCCAAACTCATGTTTTGGCTGTGTGTTACACCACAGGGGGGTGAAAACTGCAGGGGTGGTGGCCCCTAGTGAGGCCACAGGGCCTGCCAAGTTTGAAGAAGATCGGTGCAGGGGCTTGGGGGAAACTGCACCTCAAGCTGTGGACAAGCAAAATTCATGACCTGGGTGACCCTGTGTGTGTTAAGGCGCAGCGGGGTGAAAACTGCAAGGATGACAGCCCCTGCTGCAGCCATGACACCTGCCAGCTGTTGAGGAGATTGGTGCAGGGGGCTCTGGGGCCCTGCACCCCTAGCTGCTGACAGGCAAAACTCGTGCCATGGGTGTTTGTGGGACTGACTGTGTCTGTCTTGGGGCAGTTGATTGTTTGTATTGATTCTTTCCTCTCCTTAGTCTGGTTTTGTAGGTGCTAATTGATGGCAATTAACTGGCTAGGTTAGTTAGGTCCTGTGTATTGAGCTGGTCTCTGAGTGAATCACGATTGATTGGTAACACAGCAGCTTAGCAGCTAGGCCTGCAGCAGTGTCTCCCCTCCCTGCCCCAAGACAGACACAGTCAGTTGCACAAGCACCCATGGCAGAAGTTTTGCCTGTTAGCAGCTAGGGGTGCAGGGCCCCAGAATCCCCCTGCACCAATCTCCTTGACAGCTGGCAGTTGTTGTGGCCACAACAGGGGTCACCATCCCTGCAGCTGTTGCCCCGCTGCACCTTAACACGTGCAGTGTGACCCATGGCATGGGTTTTGCTTGTCCACAGCTTGAGGTCCAGTTCCCCTCAAACCCCTGCAGCAATCTTCTTGAAACTTGGCAGGCTTTGTAGCCTCAGCAAGAGATACCAGCCCTGCAGCTTTGACCCTGCTGTGTTGTAACACATAGACATGACAGGAGCTTTGCTTTCAAGAATTTGGGGTGCAGTTCCCCTCAAACCCCTGCACTGATCTTATTGAAACTTGGCAGGCTTTGTGGACTTAGCATAGGCTACCACTCCTGCAGTTTTCACCCACCTATGTTGTAATGCCTTGACGTGACAGGAGTTTTGCTTTCAAGAATTTGGGGTGCAGTTTCCCCCAAACCCCTGCACCGATCTTCTTGAAGCTTAGCAGGCTTCATGCTCTCTGCAGAGTCTACCACCCCTGAAAACTTCATCCAAATCAGACAGAAAACAACGAAGTTATAGATATTTCATTTTTTCCCCATTATACCCTACGGCTGGATCTCCAAGGTGGCTCCGAGGAGGCTCCGAAGCACTTCAAGAAGCCTAATGAGGCCACAGCTTCGACCTGGACATGCTGCTTCAGACCCCGAAGTGTCCAAAGATTTTCTGGATCCAAAGCAGGGTCCGAAGCTTTGCACAGCCCTACTATTTTGAGGTAATTTCAAACTGAAAGGAAGACTAAGAATGGTGCATCTCTCCATGAGACAGGTACTGCAGTGCAGGTACTCCTTCCTTTCCTTCCTCATCTCCCAACCATTGCTATTGGTCAATCCAGGGACATACCAATGAGATTGTTTGAGAGGTGATAAGACTAAAGAGCGTAGAAGGCTGAGCCAGGTCTTAGGACCCTCAAAATAGCAAGTGCAGTGTCATTGCTGAGTAACAAAGGACCTGACCTAGAGAATGTGCCTAGCCTATCTCTAAGATACTTATTCCCTTGGTATGCAAGCATAGAATAGCATAACATTGCTGAAGGTGCTCTCCAGTGCACATATATGTGTTTTTTATACTATACATACCACAGATACCCTCCCTCCACGCTGTCAGAGGTACTCCTCTTGTAGCACAATCTCTGGAGTATGTAGAAAACACAGCACACATTGCCTCCTCACTCTTCTCAGCATTACAGGTATCATATATGCAGTTCTAGGGAACAGAAGAGGAAACCAGAATTATGATGGTAATCTAAGCAGCAGAAACAGAAGGGGCTTAAAAATTGGTATATTCAAAATGAATTCACTTTGGTTTAATCACTTTCCAGAAAGTTTTCCTGTCATTGACACTTGATCCTCAATACTATAAATCCAAAAAATTATCCTTGTAAGCATTTTCAGGGGCATAAAATAACTTTATTTTGGGTCTTCAATTTCAACTTTAAAGGTAAACCACTTATTGCTTACCTATGTTAAAATATATATTTGCTTAACTGAGACAAAAAAGAAGAGATGGGCCTCTACCACTTGAACTTAAAAAATGGCTCTGTTAGCTGTCACCTATAGTAATACCCTTACATTCTTTCCAAACTACTACCAGATGCCAGAAAGCAATGTGCCTATATATTTGTATATAGTGGCCATGCCTTCTCCCACTGGTATCAATAAGAAAGACTCTCACTGACATCAGTAGAAACAACAATGGGCCATAACTCACATATAAAATCAATAGGGACAGCAAATATATCCATAGTGTGGTGAATCTAGAGTTTTGATCAATGTAACCTGTTTTACATGTAGCTGCCATTGGAATTTTAGTGCTCTGGCAAATTTGAAGGATAATTTACAAGATCCTTTTTAAATGGAGCAAAAAAACCCACATAAAATAAATCCAAATCTCCATTTCATTTAACTTTCCCAAGTTTTTGGTCTCAAAAAAAGAAATTGGGTATGGTTTGAAAAATGTAATTATTCTAAGAACATCTCTTTCCATCCCTGTCCCCCACAAACAATTTACAAAATTGAAAAATTTGTTTTTCAATTTTGGATTTTGGTCAAAAGAACAAAAAATGTTTGTGGGATTTTTTTTTTAAATGCTTTTTTTGGAATTTCCCACAAAACCATTGGTGATTTATTTTATCACTTCTATTACTCATGTACTTTGATGTTAAAAACACTTAAAGTATTTTGCTTTATCAGGGTTTAATAGCACCAATTAAAGAGACACCATTAACTTGCTTTTACTATATTTTTTCTACATAGAATACAAGAACGGCTTGAAAGCTCGACAGTAATGCATCTACAAAGTATATCCAGCACAGCTATACTGGCAAAGAATGTCAATGTGCCTCTAGTGCAGAAGTGAGCAATTATTTTAGCTAGAGGGCCACTTAATGAGTTTTGATGAGCTGTCGAGGAATGCAAGGGTAGCCCCACCCACTGATAGGTGCCCCACCTCCTCGTTGCTATCTTGGGACTGAAAGTCCTGCCCCTAACCCCTGACCTTTGCCACCCAAAGTTCCTCCCCCTGCTCCCAGAAGTATTTCTTTTGGGAGGGGTGGGTTGCCATCTTGGAACCAGAAAAAAAACCAAAATCATACACTAAAAGTCAAACACCTACTATAACATACTTTAATTTTATTACAAAAATATTTTTGTCGTGATTTGTGTTTGCATAGTCTATATAGAGATGATTGCATAATTATTCAAAAATAAGGTCTTACTCTTGTATATTGTGTCGGGGGTGCGTGAGGTGTGGTTGGGTGTGGGAGTGTGTGTACGTTGGAGTGTGGAGATGTGACAGGGAGGTTGTGAGGGGGTGTAGCTGTGTGTGGGAGGGCAAAAGGGTATGCTGGGGGTGTATATGTAGGGGATTATGGAGGCAGGGTGTGGGTATGTGGGGTTTGTTGGGTGTGAGGGAGGGTGGAGGTGTGGGGATGCCCCCATACCATTCACCCCATGGCACATAGCCCCTGCCAGTGGCAGCAGTGGCAGGTAGCAGGCACTTGGGGCACTTATGGCCCACGCAGGCGCTGTTGCCCAGTGGTGTGCAGCTCTGGCCAGTGCTGCATACAGTGTCAAGGAGCACAGTCAGGTCAGCCAACTTCTGCTGTGCAGGGCTCCCCATAGTGAAGCCCCACACAATGGAGCCAGCTGCCTTCTCTGCCTCCTGCCGTGCAGGTCCCAGGACTCCACTGGAAGTGGAGGGGAACTCCACCCCCTGCTTCCTGGCAGAGTCCTGAGACCTGCATGGCAGAGGGCAGGCAGCTTCATCATGTGGGGCTTCCCCACAGTATCATATGAATGCTGGGAGCTGCACGTGTGCCACAGGGAGCCCTACAATGACAGATGCTACTCGGCCTGGTTGTGCTACTTGCCAGCATGTGCAGCACTGGCCAAAGTTGTGTGCTGCCGGGTGGCAGCATCTGTGTGGGCCACAAGAGCCCTGAGCACCGAGCGCTTACTGCTGCTGCTGGCAGCAGGGGCTGTGCACCATGGGGAGGTGTGTGTGGGGGAGTCCTCACCCCCGCACTCTCTCTCACACTCACACCCTCCCTCACACCCACACCCTCTCCACCCAAGCTCCGTGCTCCCACCACTTCCCTGGGTGCAGGCTCTGCAC